TAATCGCCATCTTCATCCTCATCAGCAGCAGCAGCAGGGCAGTAAAAAATTGTAAAATCACATTTAAACAGAGTAACATTTATACCATGTTGGTTACTACTATGGTCTAAACTTTGCTATTATTATTATTATTATTATTATTATTATTATTATTATTATTATTATTACTTTTATTATTACTATTATTATTATTTTATTATTATTATTATGTTTGATATGCACATTAATATTATTATTATTATTATTATTATTATTATTATAATAAAGCTATCAGAGGTCCTCTATAAATTCACCAGAAAACACCTTATTCAACAGCTACCAACGAACGCCAACCTCTTCAGATGGGGCAAAACTACAAATGCATCATGTTTGCTCTGCAATGCAACACAAACGAACAAACACGTCATGTCAAACTGTGGCTCATCATCTGCATTGAGCAGATACTTAGATCGCCACAACAAAATTTTAAAAATAATTATCGATAATTTCATGGTAGACACGAGGCCGGGTGTCGAGGTTTTTGCGGATTTGAAAGGGGAAAAGACACGACCAATAACAGACTTGTTCAGATCACTTCGTCCTGACATTGCTGTCCGCAACAAAGACACGATCGAGATACTTGAACTGACTGTCTGCCATGAAACTAACTTCATAAAATCAAAACAATTTAAAATGAATAAATATATTGGTAATTTGAAAGATAATATTATTGATGACTTTAAGCATTGCAATATTTTAATTAATACCTTTGAAATATCGCCAATTGGCTTTTACAATCCTTTTAATATGTCTTTAATTGATATAACTTGGACCGATTATTTTAGATTTAGCTTGATTAACAGGGTAATTTCGTGATCATATGCTCTGTACTGTGATGGAAACAATGAGTGAAGTTTTTTATACTATTTATCATCATGGTACTTACTTATTTTCATAAGATGACGAGCAATGATGACTATCCGTATTACTCTAACACTTTATCTTTATATTATTTTATTTTATTCATCTAACTGTATATTTAACTATACTCAATTTTATTTCATTGTCAATATTTTGATCTTACTTATGCTCTGTCTTTGGAAAATAAAAGAGTAATACTTATTATTATTATACATTATTACTATTATTATTACCATTACTATTACTACTACTACTACTATTATTATTATTATTATTACTATTATTATTATTATTATCATCATCATCATCATTATCAGCGAATGATGTCTGGCTTTGAATTGAACCAGAACGTTAAAATTTGGACTTTAGCGGTTGAACTCTGATAGTAACAATAGTAATAATAATAATAATAATAATAATAATAATAATAATAATAATAATAATAATAAAGATTCAAATGATGAGATGGTAATGACGACGTCTACAATGATGATGATTAATAGAAATCGATTGAATGAG